GAGTTATAATCCTTTGTGTGATCTTTACATGGCATAAATACATCAACCTTGGTTAAAAATTTGTAAGAAGATTTACAATTTTGAGATAGTTAAAATTCTTTTTATGTTATTTTTTGTCATAGAAAATTCCAAACATCACAAAAAATTTTCTAAAAGGTCAACATAGATGATTTTATTATTCTAGAGGTTTTGGATTTTTTTTTTTAATTTAAATGATATTTTGAATGTATTTTTGAAAATTTTAGGTAAAAGAGTTAAAGAAAAATGACATAAAAATGGAAAGCAACTAGGAAATAAATTGTTGAACCCATGAATACTTTTAGAACTTCTAAAATATATGAAGTATATGAAGTTGACTAAGATATTGAAATAAATTTGGAAGATTAAACCTTTAAATAAGAAAATATCATTGTTTTGACTCTAAATAGACTTCAAAATTTCAAAATATTTAATAGTAGAAGTAGTAGGACAAAAGGAATATTTTTTACCATATTAAGACTTAGATAATGACTTAGAAGTAAGGGAAAAACTACTGAGTAACATGAAATTGACCAAGTTTTGGTAAAAGGACATCTTAACAAATAATTAGAAATTTAGGAAGTAAATTGTAATTTCTATAAATTATAGACTATTTGGCAAAAAATTACAAAGATATTTTATTTAGATAAAAGACTCTATTAGGAGTAATTCTCCATTAGTTTCCCTAAAATTTGACTTAAAATGAATCAGTTATAACTATTAAACTAACTTGTTGATAGATAGAAGGTGCTATATAATCTGCAAAGGAAAATTATATCATGTGCAAGACTTTGTAAGTGTTTAAATTATTATTATATATATTTTTTAAAGATAGACATAGAGGGAAACATTTCCACCATTTTCATCATTTTTGGATTTAAAATAAGCAAGATATAAATTTTGTAACTCACTGCTAGGTGAAAAATAAAATCATGTAAACTGCAAAGGAAGTTTGTTCTCAGTAGGGTGACCTGAGAGTCTTAGGTATGAACAAATATTTTTCCTTGAAAATAGATATACATAATAGAACAACTTCATTAATTTAATCACTTTTGGATTTAAAATGAATAAGTAATGATTCTTCTAAGAATATATTACTCAAATAAGATAACTTGTGACCAACAGACATAAAATAGGTCTTGAATTAGAATTTGTAAGAATTTATTTTGTGAATATATATTTTTATGATAATACATACTTATAGGAATAGAACCTTGGTTATTTCATTATTTTTTGGAAGTATAATGAATTAGTTATGAATTTTACGATTGCTAGGTTTTGAAAATGACATTATGTGAACAATAAAGAGAAACTGGGTTGAGTGCTAATCTCTGTGGGTGAATAATTTATGTGTGTATTTTGTTTGAAAATTAGATACTTAAAGAAATAGAACCTTAATGATTTCATGATTTTTGAAGTTATAATGAATTAGTTACAAATTTTTCATTATCTTGGAACTAAGAATGGTATTCTGGGAACAATAGAGGGAAACTAAGTCTAAACTAATAATGGTATTCTGGGAACAACAAAGGGAAACTAAGTCTCAAATGACTCTCTATGAGTGAATGATTTATGCTTACATTTTTATATAGAAATATACACTTAAATAAATAAAACTCAAGTGATTTTATGATTTTGATTTAGTTATGAATTTTACAAGTTAGTGTATGAAATCTGAAAAAATATGAAAATAGTTGTAACATCCTCATTTTATTACCCTTGTTTTCATAGAAGAAGAAATTAGTGCAGGGTCTTTCACCCAAGCAAGATATGTTTAGCTAAAACGAGATAAGGCTTATGGAGGAGAGAAAAGAAGAAAATGGAGAAGAGGATGAGGGAGAGAAAAATATCCAAGTGGTCACGATGAATGGAGTTGTTTAGCTTGTTTTGATTGGTTCATAAATTGTGTAGTCTCAAATGAGTCACAAGGTTGATTATGATGTGTTGGATCAAGGTGCAAGGCAAATAATATTATTTTACTCCGTTAGTTTAAATTACTAAAACCCTAACTATTACTCTTGTAACCACAGATCTTTTATTTACCTGGTTTCTCATTGGTATTTACTTAAATTCTACTTTAAGTTTATAATTCTAGTCTAAGTAATTAACATAGATTTAAATTCTAATAAATCTTAAATTAGTCTTTAATTAACCTTATTCATGTTAATTAATCGAGTTATTAATTAATCAAAAAAATTAATTAATAGTATAAAACAAATTATTAAAATTCTAGAAGTTACAGTGTAAACTACTGGGAGTGACTAAGATAAAATTATGCACTATTACTCAATTCTTTGTTTAAGTACCTATGACACTATCTCTGAACACAAAACTATCAATCATTAACCTAGAAATTAAATGTATAATTACTTATTCCACAAAGAAAGAATAATATAAATAGAAGACTCTGAAATGCTACTTTGATTTATGAATCTATTAGTTGATTATGTTTATTAATTTTACTTTATGATATAAATTATGAATGATTTATTCATCATTTTTTTTTTGTTTTGTGTCTATTAACTATGTTATAAATGTAAAATGAGTCCATGGAATATTCTCATTCCTGAAAAGAACATGAGCTTCAGTATGAGGACAAGAAGTTGGAGTCATAACAATGCTAATCAAACCATTATCTTTATCATTTGTGTTATATTAATGATTATCACCACTAACAATCCTCATTATACTCCCATAATTATGTAAAGTCCTCTTAGAGTTTAGATCTCCTATTCCATGTATTCTGTAGCAACTTACCTAAGCCTTCATGCTGATATTCCTCTAAATGGGTTATAATATTAGATAAGGGTGAAATGTTTGGATGGAGTATATGTAAATTATGAGTGGCTAGAACTTTCACTAGACTTTCATTTTCTTTTGGGTTGTAATATACTTAAATAATTTAGAAAAATTTTGGAAGTCTATATAAAATTTTCTACTGTTGATGTACATTAAACCCTAAACCCTAAACATGACCACATACATATAGATGTACATTATATGTGTAATGCATACCTTTACTCATCTATTTAGAAAAAAATTATTATTATTAAAAATCCATAGTTGTTTTAGTTGTGTACGCAATGAGATGTAACAACTAGTGTATAAAAGTAATCAACAAGGCTCAAATTGTATATTTCATTATTAATGATAATGGTGAAGATGATAGAACAAATTAAATTTTTTCTTTTAGATAAGCTGGAACAATTTTTTACTTGATAATCCATATATAATCAATGGTAGAATAAATTAAAGCTTAAGTAAACTTTTGATTTTAAAAAAATAAAATAAATTTTGATTTCATTTTTTTTTAATATTAGGTTTTGAGTCTTTAATAATTTTAGTCTTGTTGTAAATGATTTTTATTAAGTATCGAGTTAACTTATAATGATTCAATTCAACATCACTATGCATACTATATATACATATATATATATATATATATATATATATATAGTTTCAAATATCTCTAAATTTAGTTCAATCTCTATAAATATTTTTGTTTGATTTTAGTACCTATTTTTTTTTGTATTCTCTTGACTAACAATTGAAGATTATTTCTTGAGCGAGACATATCTTACTTAAATGAGATCTCCTGTCATTTTCAAAATTTAAAAATTTTTAATTTAAAAACAAAATGAAGTAAAAATGCAACAACAAAAACAAAAGTGTTATGGAGTGTGTTTTTATCTCTCTATGCTCTCTGGGTCTTTATCAAGAATCAAACTTATAAATTATTTTTAAATATATATTAATAATGTTATTTATTAATTAAATTTTATTTTAATAAATAATTTATGGTTAATATTATTTTAATATTATTGAAATAAATTTTAATTAACAAAAAGATTAACAATATTAAAAAATTATACTTAATATTATTTTCTCTTTATACAATAAAAGTCCCAACAGAGTTAATTAGATAAGTCCTTATAGGTTAAAATTTAATTATTAAGTTTACTTATAAATTAAAAAGGAAATATTTAAACATATTCTGTACATTTTTAGGTATGTTTATTATAAGCGTAAAGTACAAAATTAATAATTGATGACAATTAATTTTTAATAAGTTCAGACTATAGAAAAATACAATAAATTTTATATACAGTTTTTATAAACTAAATTGAATTGACAATTTTTTATTATATAAAACATGAATTGACTAGTGAGTTAACTTATTTCCTATATATGTTTGAATATTATTTATTGAATTATGATTTAATTGATTACACTGATCAAATGATGGTTGAGATGTCACTTTAGGTCAATTCATGATCTGGTTTTTAAAATAAATTTTCAATTAATGATATATAAATTTTTACTTTTTATTTATAGCAATAAAATCCAAAAAACTTATTACATGAGGATGCTGAAAATGACAGGCAACGCCCAACATCTTTTTAAGACAAACGACATTAATAATGTAAATAATGCAAAATTGTTGTTTTCTTGCTGTAAATTACTCAGCCAAATGCAAGGGGAAAAAATCTAATAGTATAAGAAACAGCACATTCTTCGTTATCCACTCTCTTTATGGTATCTGGCTTTTGCTCTGTTCTTCTTCTGCCACTAACATTTACGATTTCTCAATAAAAACTAGGATGCCTCACTGGTAAGCTTTCGTTATCCACTCATTTTCTTAATATTAATTTCTGCAATGTTTTTCTTGAAAACCTTAACATACTAGATTGAGAACAGAGAGATAAACCAATTGAGGAATCTGTTGGTAACTGCAGTGGAAGCCATTTATATTGTGTTAGTGTCTGAAGTACGAGTTTTGTGTTTGTTGCCAAAACATCTTCCATGTATCTCTCTGTTTGTTTCTAGATTCACTTTTGACACTATCATCTAACCGTTTAAACAAAGTTTCTTAAATTGGCTTTTAAATTTTCGATAGTTTTTCATAATATAAATCTAAACTTTAGCATTATTGACATTAAAAAATATAGAATGAAAGCAACTAAATCTTCCTGTGCAGGGCCATGAGTTTTGGATATGGCAGTGTGATCTTAGTTGCTCTGATGCTTCTTCCCCACATGGCTTCCGCGGGTTCTACTGTGAAGAACTTGCCGGGTTACGAGGGTGATCTTCCATTCAAGCTTGAAACTGGGTGAGTTCGTTTCTTTTTCCATTTCAATGAATATATGATAATTTATTATTACAGATATTAATAAATAGTAAAAATAATAATTTATTTTTAAAATATAAATATTTTTTAATTTATAAGATATTAAATAAATTAAAGTTTAATATATAAATTTAAAATAAACTCTTATATTAAATCTGTGCCTTTAATTTAACTTATTTCTAATAAATTATAATTTACTATTTTATTTAACTGTAAGATGTAAATTAAATAAAAAATTCATATTAAATATAAAAAATTTTAAATTTATATTAATATAAAAATATTATTGTTTACTGTAATTTACAATGTAATTAATAATTTTTTTTATTGGTACAGTCTTAAAATATTTGTTTAATTTATATGAAATGGAGTATTCCAAAAGTTAGCACATTATGATTATATTATTATGAGATGGAGTTGGAATGCGCATATGCCTCGTGAAATTGAATTAATTATTTTAAGCATTATGATATTTTGTTTGCATTATTTGTTATTATCACTTAATATTTCTTAAGTGTCATGTCATGTCTCTGTTATCATGGAATATTCCTTTGTTCTTCCCCGAATATATCTGATTACTATGATTTTGAAAAGAGTTGGGGATCAATGTATGACTAAGTTCACTTTTTTATTATTATTTCGATATATTTGTTATTCTTATTGTATTTATTAAATTGTGAATTTTTAAATTATCAATTATTTTATTTTGGATTAGAATGGTTGTAGCTTTGGTTTCTACTGTGGTTAAGTGGTGTGGAGAAGGTTGTTTTGGATTTGATGCACTTAAAAGGTGATATGTTGTGTTTGTTTTTGTGTCCTGCAGCCGCAAACGTGTGTTTATAGTTTACGTTATGTAAGGCAGTGTTGAGTTGAATATGAATATTTTGCGTTTCAACTCATTACCAAATGCTCAGGACTTGTATGGTTATCAGGATAAATGTCATATATATTGTTAATTAAGTGTATATTGAGTCACAAGAATAAAATTAACAATTGTTTTTCTTAAAATATTTTTATTTTATTTTATTATTTCTCTCTTTTTTTCTATTCTCTCTCCTCTCTATTTTTATATATTTTTAAAATATATTAAAAATTAAAAATATATATTAAATTATTTATATATTTCTATCAATGTAGGAAAAAAATAATTTTATTATTTTTTACACATTTATTTATTTTTTATTTGCATATCTATATTATATCATTCTTTTTATCAAATATGTATCAAATATTAAATATGATAAAAACTTATCATCTTACTTTTATCCTATTCATTCTGATCTTATTATGACCATCAAATGAGCTTTTAATGAAATCATGAAGTAACCTTGTAAATTAGGTTTGAGTAGGTTATTTTAAATCAAGTAAAGTGAAAATAAGAAAAACTCAAGAAGAGTTCATGGTGAGCTGTGAAGGAAAACATAACCACATATGATTTTGGTCTATTAATTTTTTTAAATTTGATAAGTTCTTTTATTTTTAATTTAAATAGATTTAGTCTCTTTTTTATCTTAAATTGTTAAATTTTACTTTCTTATCTTAATATTTGAAGTTTATGATGAATTTAAAGTATGAAATAATTTTAAAGTTGTGATAAAAACAAACTTTGAAATTTTGATAAATTTTGTAAGACTTCACAGTATGTAATATTTGGATGAAATTTTATGATTTATTTGATGAGTTTGTGCAAAAACACGTTTAAGAAAAATATTAATGAATATTTTGAACTTAAAAATTTTGGTGTTTTGAATAGAAAAATTCAACGAAAGACTAAATAAACTACTTAATTTTAAAAATAAGAAGATTATTAGCTCAAAATAAAACTTGTACTTAGAATTAAAGAGATACAAATACAATTAATTCATAATTTTAAAATATAGATATTTAATTAGATAAAAAAACAAAATTATACACAATTTAAGTGAGAAAGTTTAAAATATAGATATTTAATTATTTAAAGATTTCATTTGACTAACATTTTTGTTTATTAAATCCTGATGACCCACACTTGACCTGATGGATTAACCCATTCATTTACAATTTTATATTCAAGATTAATTATTTTTCTTTGAAAACATGCTCTCACATGATATATTGTATGATGTTTTAAATAAAAAAGCAAAGCATGTCTCAAATGATTTTGTCATAAACTTCAAATAAAATAAAGTAATCTTCAATTAATTGAACTTAATAAGTAAACCCCCCAAATTAACTAAATTCAAATCTTCAAATTGAAAAACAATTTGAGCAATAGGAAAATTTCAAGTGAAACAACTTTTGTAAATCTCCTTAAAATAAGTTAATTTGAAGAGAAATGGCCTACAAACTAGGGATTCTTTCTATGTGGTCCATGCTTATTAAAAAAAACGGCATTACTTTCCAATACTTCCAATAACAACAAAAAAGACTAAGCACAGGGTTTGATAACTCCAGTCAAAGAAAGACAGATTAAAATTGTCGTATAGTTGAAGCTTACTTTATTTTAAATTGATTGCATCATTTGATAAACGACAATGGTAAAGAGTATTCCAATTAGCTTTGGCTTTGGGTTCCATTTGGTTAGCAATACATGATTTTGGTATGAGAAATGAAACTATTAATTACATTAATTTATATAATATTTTATATACACGACAAATACGTATGTATGTGTATTTAGTTAGCTAAGGGATGTATTTGATACGTAGACAAATACATAAAAATGAGATGGTGGATCCATGGCAGTGTTTTGAACTTGAGTTAATTATTGTTGCATAGATACGTGGGAGTGGGAGAAGAAGAACAAGTGCAAATATTTTACTTATTTGTGGAGTCTCAAAGAAACCCATTCATTGATCCATTGTTACTTTGGTTGGTTGGTGGTCCAGGTTGCTCTGCTCTTTCAGCATTCTTTTTTGAAAATGGTAAATCATCTTTTTATTCAATTTATTTTAACAAATTTTTAGCAGCCTTCTTTTTCTAATTTTTATTTCTATTTTTTCCTTACAATTATAAAAATGTTACTTTATTTCTATTTTTTTTTAAATGTTTGTATAGGTATTTTTACTAGTTCTTATACATTTAAAAAGTAATAATATGATATTTTTGTAATTAAAAAGTAGAAAATAAAAAAATCTCAAATGAAACAACTTTTGTTAGTATTTTTATTTCGACTAAAATAAGGTATTTTTATTTGGTTCTTTTATTTTTTAATCTAGTTCTTCAAAAATTATTTTTATTTGCATCTAATTTCTTCATTTGTAATTTTTTAACTTTTTTTCATTTTTTTTTATATATAACATCTGAGTTGACACATAATTTGAGTGAATATATCAAGAACGGAATTTATTATTAATAATAGCGCATTTTTCATATTTTTGAATGAAATTGAAACTCATGAAATTATGACTTTTGAAATCAAGATATAAACATAATGAAAATTTAAATAACTTTATTTAGGTTGGATATTACGCAGTTATATATTAGAAAAAAATAAAAAACCATTAATAAAGAGACTATATAAAAAAATAACTTTTAAAATATTTATTTAGAAAAATAAAAAATGAGAGATCAAATAAAAAAATTATAAATTTTTGGAAACAGAAACTTTATCTAGGCGAGAAACACTATCACTCATGAAATACAAAAACTTTATTTGGTTAGAAAAACAAATACTATCACTCTCATGAAACTATTTTCTATTGATATAGGCGAGAAATATCAAAAGAATATAAGGATTTGAGCACAAATTACCAAGAAAAATGCAAAATAAAAAAGAAAAAAATAAATTTGGATTTGGATTGTATTGTTTTTTGGTTAACTTTGCAGGGCCTTTAGTGATGAATGAGAATTACAGTGGGAAGCTCCCAAAACTTGAATTGAACAGACATGCATGGACGCATTCGTTGAATATGATATACATAGATATGCCAGTGGGCACTGGATTTTCCTACTCTCAAACGCAAGAAGGCTAGACCATTCCTACTCCTTCTTACAAAAGGTCAACCATTATTCATTTAAATACTATCACTATACTTTAAGTGCATTGCTTTTATGCCAACAAAATTTCCTATAGACAAAATAAGCTATAGCTCAAAAATAAGATCCCAAACATACGTTTGTATCTTGAAATATATTGAAGGCTAAATATAATAATTTGACAAATGCATTCAAATTAAGAGCAGATCTTTTCACCTAAGTTGTAAATTTTAAAAATTTTATATTTAATATGATTTTTTTATTTAATTTATATTTAATGATTAATAAAATAATAAATTATAATCCGTTAGATATAAGTTAAATGAAAAACTCAAGTAAGAGTTTTTAAACTTATACTAATATAAAAAAATCTATAAGTATAATTGGATCAAAGGTGGCACTTAAAATTTTCGGAAGAATTAAATTTTTGCATATGATTTTTCTTCCCTTAACTGGGTTTCATTTTCATCGCAGTGGTTTATTGATCATCCAAAGTTTAGCTCAAATCCATTTTACATTGGTGGTGGTTCGTATTCAGGGACACCTACTGGTCCTCTTGTTCAAAAAGTATACGAAGGTAAATACTATAAATAGTAGTAGACAATTATTCTTTAGAGTTTTGTTAATGTAAATTGTTTTATACTATTAACTAATCCGAATACATGATAAATGAATTTTAAATTAATTATTAATAATTTTTATAAATATAATAATATCTATTATTGAATAACAGTGTAAAAAATGTTTTACATTGTATTCTAATATTAATTTAATTTGAAATTTACTAGTTAATCATATTTTGGCGTTAATTAGTCCAAATGTTTTTTGAATTTATATGCTTCCTCGAAGAGCAGGTTACATAGCAAGACGCGAGCCAGTGATGAACATCAAAGTACGAAAGACAGAGAAACATTGTTGTTGGAGTATTTTTCTAATTTGGTAGATATTTTCTGAGCTTTTGTATAACTAATTATCTCTTTCGTCATTAGGGTTATCTTCTCGCAAGCCCAGTTGTTGACGAAATTCAGGAATTAAACACGAGAGTTTTATATGCATACCAAAGGTCTCTTATACCAGAAGAACTCTATAAGGTTCTTTGTCACTGTCTAATTATCCATTTGTTAAAAGAATCAATTATCTTTATACAATATTTTTGTGGTGTTTGTTTTTTTTTTATTTTTTATACCAAGTTATGAATTTAGTTATGTTTTGAACAAAACTTTAATTTAGTCTCTAAAATTAGTATTATTGATTAGTTTGTTTTTTTATATAACAAAACAAATAAATAAATTTAATCCTTAACTTTAGTCACTGTCAATTACTTTGATTCTAAAAAATTAGACAGCTGAGTACGTAGATTAATTTCAAATGGGTAAACTATGTTGAATGGCTAAGATAAATACAGGTCTTAATAGAGTATTTATTATATATTAAAAGTTGTACTTTACTTATGGGCATTGTATATTAATGATATGTTATTTTGTCAGTAATACATCTTAATTTACTCTAAACATAAAATAATGTTATTCTATAATATTTAAAAAAAATTATTTTTAACTTTTACCATTTATAAGTAACAAGATTTTTTTCTTTATTTTTTCACTTTTCTTTTCTTCTGTAATGTTCTTTTTCAGTGTAGTGATGAAGTTTGAGTTATAAGAATTTGAATTTGTTGAGTTGAAAGATGAGATTTGAAGGTAAACAGAAAGAAAGAATTAGAGAGAGATAGTAAGTTTACCGTGGTAAAAAAAAGATGAAATAAATAATTTTTTTTTAAAAAGATTATAAAATGACATTGTTTTATGCCTATAATAAAATGTTATTACTCCATTATTTAATTTTAACATTTTTTTAATAATTTAGATTAACGTGATTAACAATTGTTAATTTTAAAAATCAAAATTTAAAATTTTAAAAATTAACTTTATTCAAATTAGTATATTTTATATACTAAAACGAAAGTTTACTCCTTTACTAACGGTTTAAATTACTTTTGACACTACGATGAATAGTTACGATCATATATTTTTTTAGAAATATTAGTTTAACACTTAAAATAGGTGTTTGTCCTATGTAGTACATTAGGGTGTTAAAATGTATGTGTTTTTTTAATGTATATACTTATTTTAGATATCAAAATAGCATTACTGTTATATGTTATATAAAAGGGAGGAAATGATTGTAGTGTTTGCGTTCCATATCACTTTAACTTTATATTATGTTTTTGAACTACATCCGTGAATTGAGTTTAACTTAGTATTATTTTTGCAATTTTAAAGATATATATTCTTCTGTAATTTTAAAAATTAAAATGACCAGCAATTATAATTTTGAGATTGATTTCATGTATTGCTCGTATCCAATTGCATCTACGGCTCATCTAACCTTATATACCTAACAATTTATAGAAACATTTTCGCAGTCAATTAATGAAAATTGTGATGGTGAATTTGTAAACATCGATCCAGAAAACACGAAGTGCGTCTCAGATTATGAAGCTTATTCCGAGGTATTGCACTTTTAGTTGTGCATTATGGTGTAGTTGTCGTGGTGATCCTATAATTCATGCTATAACATGAATAGTATTCAATTAACCCATTAATTTGCAGCTTGTTCGTTATATAAACATACAACAAATTATGGAACCTTTCTGTATTACTACGCCAGTTTTGAACCAAGAAATCCGACAACTATTTGAAGATCCTCCAGAATTTTGGTGTAGAGTTAAGTAAATCCTCTCACTTTCCATTTTGTGTTTGGGTCAAGGATGAATGTCTTCTTGTTTTACTACTTTATATAAGGTATGCTTCTAATCATAGAAGAATGAAAATTACTTACATTCTATGTCATATAATATTAAACAAACTAAAGTAAAAAGAGGAAAATACAAGAACTCTGAGATACATATAGCTAAATGTATTTTAGGTAGGGAACCAAGTCACTTATCAGCATTGCATGTCCCTTTGTCTATGTTGTCCAGGTTACATGTATCTGAATATGCCACATCACACACTATCTCAGACTGATTTTTTATGTGGAATGTTTAAATACATATAATATATATCTCCATTAAATGCTTAAAGTTTATGAAGATTAAGATCATAAAACAAATTTAATTAATTTTAATTTAGATTTAATTTTGAATTTTGAATTTTTTATACTTTTTTAAATTAAATTATCTTTTTCTAGACAATTAGATTTCAGGATTTTGGTAGCAAGAATGTTCGGAAGGGAGGAAAGTAAAGAATGTATGGAGTTTTATCTGGTTCCCAAAATTTTGGTCTATTTGGTTGTGTTAAAATGTAGGTATAATTTGGCTAAACTTTTTAATAATTACTTATAAAAGAAGAGAAAAAAAAAGGAAAAATAATTTACTTTTTTTATTACTATAATTAACTAATGAACATAGCTTTTTTCAGATTTCTTTTTTTTTAACTTTTTTTTAAAAAAATCTTGCATACATCAATTTTATGGATCCTATTTATGCATTAAAATTAGGAATGTTGAGTTTGATTTTTCTTTTTAGGATTGAATTTATAATCCTTCTTTGTATATGAATCTTTTCTTAAGGAACACAGGATTGTTGCAAGGGTTGGAATATCTGTTATACTTCTTTTAATAAATTTATTTGTTGATAAAAGAAAACTCAATTTAAACATTCTTCTGTTAATTTTAACATGCTATGAATGGAAGTGATCCTTGTTTCTTTAACTTATTTTTATGTAATAAAATAGAACATTCATAATCAATAACAGACACATCAAATACTAAAAATACTAATTTTAACCAAAATTTAAAAATACTCATGTATTAAAATAAATTACTAATTTTAACTAATAAACAAAATAAAATAAGCTTGCATTAATTTGTTAACACACCAAATAAGATATCTTAACTTTTATACTAACTTGAAGTTATCAACTGTCTTTTAGAGTTATTATCAGATCCTTGTTGACGTGTGGGCAAACGATGAAAATGTGAGGAAGGCCCTTCATATAAGAGAGGTAATGCTGCATTGCAATTGGAGTAATCAATTGAAGTTGTTGATGGAGTTAGGCAATTAATTGAATAATGCTATATATCCAAAAATAGGGAACTAAGGGGGAGTTCTTGAGATGCAACAGAACTGTGGCATACACCAAAACTTGGCTAAACACAGTTGAATATTATCGGAATCTCACTAATGCCAACCTCCAAGCTCTCGTTTACTGGTAATTTACTTCTAACGATAATTCTTTTCAGTGCAGATAACTTCTATCATAAGTGGATTAATGAGATTAAGATATCGTGTTAAAATCCTATCAGTTTTTATTTAATTTCTTATAAACAAATTTTTATTAGTCTATGTAAAATGAAATTATATATACCATGATGTAACTTGTACAACCCTTTAATAAGTTTTTTAAATTTATTGGCTTATTTCTTTCTTACTTCAATAATTTTTTTTATAAATTATCAAAATAATTTGTTTTATTTTATCCTAATAAATTTTATAATTAAATACATGACATAAGTCACTTTTTTAAAAAACTATTATAAGCTGTTTATCTAAATAGACCCATATTATGAGATTATTTTGTATGAAAATGAACATGAGAATTTTGAGGTGATAATTGCAGTGCTGATCTTGACTTGGGTGTGCCGCACCTCGGAACCCAAAAATGGATCAAATCGTTCAACATGAGCGTACGTGACAAGTGGCGTGCATGGTTTGTTGAGGGTCAAGTGGCTGGGTATTGCTAATTCAGCTCTCTTTTTTGCAACTCAAATGTTATGTATTTCCCATTAAACGTAAAATGCTGCTCCATCTAAACACTACTGGAAAATTTTCATAAATAGGATAAATTAGGTGGTAAAATTTAGTTTAAATTTTAAGTTTTTAATTTTCAAAATATATTTTTAAATTAATTAAAGATTTAATAACAAATTCTAAAGATTTACATATGATTTTTTGTTATATATCTTTTCTTTATGAATTTCATACAAATAATAATAAGAGAAATTTTATAAATATAAACATAAAGATTCAAAATAATTTAAAAATTTACATAAGGGAAACTGTGTGCCATTATATTAATTATATGTTCCTTGAAATATTTAACATAGATACACAGAAATCTACAATATGAAAGAAGACCACTACTTCACATACGTGATCGTGAAGGCAAGTACATGTATATATATATACCAATTTAATTAGCAATTTCTCTGTGAAATGTGATAAACTTGATCATATCTATCTTTTGTGATTCTAACACAGGGCGCTGGACATGTGGCCCAGATATTCAAGCCCAAGGAAGTTTACCATATGATCAATAGGTGGTTTTCGTTTTCACTTATCTAGGGTTGTGCTTGAAGATGATGGGCTATTTATTATCTCTATTTATTCATATACAACGTCAAGTTAATTTTGTCGCAAGTATTCTTATTAATAATATATTAAAGTTTAAACGTAAATATAATAAGACCCTAATCATCTTATTAATATGATTCTTTGCCCAATTTACAGTTTTCCAATGATATTCAAGTATTCTTAATTTTGTTGTTTTTAAGATAATAATATATTTTATATTCATTGAATATATAAATTTGTAATTTCTCTAAAAAGTCATATTTTAGTAATTTAAAAGTAAAAAAATTTATATATATATATATATATATATATATCATCCAGATAAATAGAAAGTTTCAAAGGTACTATATCTTTACATTTTGTACAAAGAAGAGTATTTATATTTTTTATTTAATTAAAAAATAAAAAGAATAAATGTAATTTTTATAAATAAATATTTAAATTTTCTCTCTTAAATTTTTTAATTAAATAACAAAGTATTTACTTAATTCTCTATATATAATAATAATGACGAATAGATCAATTTTTTACAATTAAATAACAAAACTATCATAGGTTACTAATTATTAAATTTAAATTATATTTTCACTCTTGGTTTGATTTAAGTGATTTAAGCACTAATCAGATTAGAGAAAATTCTTACTATGAATGGCATAAAAAGTATTTATTGAATTCAGATTAGTCAATCAAAATTTTTTAATCTTAATTCAATTATCATATCAAATTTTAATCAAACTTACACAAGAAGTTAAAGTAACTCAAATGTGAAATACATTTTGAAATTTTATCTATAAAATTAAGCATGATTAAATGTTTTTTGTTAATTATGTATTAAAAGTAGTTGTGAAATTCAAATATAATAAAGTATGCACATTTAAAAACCATACAAAACCTAAAAACATAACTATAAATAAGAGACAAAATATATTCAAATTCGATTAAGAATAAAATCTCAAACTTCAATTATTGTACTTAAATTAGAGAATCAATCCTCAATTGTTTAACCTTTCTTATTTTGATCTACAAATGTAGAGAAATAAATCATAGAAAAATTATTATTTGAAAGTATTTATTTAACTATTCTCTTAAATGCAACACATTATATAGCACAATATTTTAAAACAATTCTAAAAGCTTTCTAAGTTAAAGTGAAATTGTAACTCCTACATCTCTTTTTGGCGTAGTGAAGTTATTTGGTCCCTCTCAACTACTTGAATTATTACATATAGACTTATCTGGTCCCATTTGAATTTTGTGTATAGGTGATAAAAAATATAGATTAGTCATAATATATGCCTATACTAAATTTGCATAGGTTTTCTTCTTTGCACATAAAAGGGAGTCTTTTGATGTATTTAAAGTCTTTCATAAAAAATCACAAAATAAAAAGAGTATTTCTATAATTTTCATAAGATGTGATAATGATAGAAATTTGAAAATGAAAAGTTTAATATTTTTGCAAAAAAAAAAAAATGGTAGATTTCTTTTCTAGTTTTTCAACTTTAAACTTTTTAAGAGAATATTGTAATATAATCGATAATGATAAAGAAATATTTCAATTTTTTTAATGTATTAATTATACTTGAAAATTGTTATAATTTCTTTTGTTCAACACAATAACATGTATTATGTGAGTTAGAAAGAAATTTGGAATCAAAGAGATTATGTAATTAAATTTGTCTCATTTTTTTTCTTGTCTTAGTTTATTGTTTTAGAGTTTGACCATACTACAATATTTGTTATTATTTTCATTTGAATCACTTTCTTTTGCAATTATTACAAACATGAAAAATATTTTACAATAGATAAATATGATAGTTAATTTGGTGGAGTCGATGTCATCTTTATCTATTAATAATCTTCCATGATTGTATTGCATATAAGATGAAATGTGAACCTAAAAACAAATATTAAATTGATAATGACAAAGAAATATAAAAAATAAGAGAAATATATATTTTAGCATATATATTTTTTATCATAATCTTAATTATTATTTAAAATTTGTTAAAAGTTATAAAAGTATTAATAAAGTCCTTAACTTAAGAGTAATAAAACTAATATAATTTTTAATAAATTTTTGCTTATAATAAATAATATTCTTAAAAAAAGAATTATTCTTATGCAGTGTATTATAATATTTCTCTAAAAATATTATTTAATAAGAGATTATTAATATTTTTTTATTATATTAAAAAAATTTACATTACTTAATAATTGTTGGGAGAGGTGACAAGTACTAGTTTTAGTCTTAAATATAAGACAACAATCATATAATGGTAATGGTAACAAAATACAATGATTTTAAATACTCATGTAAGATTTACATTTTACATTTGTGTGTGTATTTATAGAAATGTGTCTCTTAGAGTATTTACACAAATAACTCACTAGAAGTTCTTCGTCATTACTATGTTAATAGTTGCAAGAGAAAATCAAATCACACAATTAGAGCTATACATCTAAAATTCTTTTATAAAAGAAAAAGTTTCAATAAATGTAGTTCAATTTTAGGTTCCTTATAATTTGATTTCTTTAATTAACTTGTTTATTGTATATGGTCATTGTGGTTCTTTTAATATTTAATTTACGATATTAAGTATAAACTATTTATATTTGATAAAAGAAACAATAAGTGACTTCTAAGTGATGCATAGCTTCTAAATACTAAGAATGTTACTAAAACAATATAATATATTTCTACTTCTAAATACGAATGTTACTAAAATAATATAACATATTTCTATGATAATATATATCATATGGTTAGTTCATCTGTCCATATATCCAATTAAATATAAGATATGAAATGTGTCACTTTATAAAGTTCAATTTTGTTTCTTTTATCCTTAATTAGACTTTTCTAAAATAAATATTTAACATAATCAAACATTTTATATTCTAACTCTATCAAAAAGTTTTGTAGATATTATTCATATTACATAGAAAAACAAATTTTATTTAAATTATTCACATTCTTTCCATAGGATTTATTTTATATCTAACTTCCAACTTTAAAATAATCTTATTGTAGGTGACGTTTGATTTAATTTAAACATAAAAGAGGAATTACTAACTTTAGATCAAAGAATCACATATATCACTATCACATTGTAAACTATTTATAACACTCATGTAATGTTTCGATGGTTGATAATATATTATTACTTTTGTTTATTTATGTGAGAATTTGATATCTCATATCATTATTCATGAGATTGGATCATCGATCCACTTATATATGAGTCTTTACATAATATATTGTGATAATATTTAATATTTAATTAGGAATACTTCAATAATAATATTAAGTAAGATCTAATAGTCAAATAATTTACTTAATATCATCTAGAGTTATACCAATTATATCTTAATCTTGAGTAAACATTTTAGTCAAATAAACTAAACCTAACCCCAATGAAAAATATCTCATGAATTTAGTGAAGGACAAATTAGAATCTAATTCTCAATATGACAAATGTTAAACAGTCAATAGAATATAATTAAGTGTTAGAATTATCCAGATTAGACTCAAGGTGGTATGAGTAATTGTCTTTGTCAACAATGAAAGCTATTAAGTTTTTTTCGTCTTATCAAATTTCTTAAGTTTCTTACACAAAGACATTATTAAAATTTCACAATTTTATGACGGATTTTTGCTAAAGAATCTGTCACTAATATATTTGCGACAAATTTTGTGACTAAACTTATTTCTTAGCACTACTCATCTCCAGAACTATGAACTTCATAAGTACTAGACATATTTTATTAGAATGAATCCACTTATCATGTTTTGAGGTTTTTCACGGTTTCTCCCTCAATACTTAATGAAAATTCATGACTTTGATGTTGAAAGATTTGAAACTTCCTACTCTATACAAGGCCTAAGGAATTGAAACAGATTTATAAACTTATTTATAGATTAGGATTTTTCAAATTTGAATTGGATTCAAAAGTTAGGGTACATAATTTCAAAACTAAATTTCTCTTTATACACTAATATGTTTTAGATGATTTTTATGTTGATTTATTCACAATATTACTAATAAAATGTTTATGTTAATTTATCCACAATATTACTAATAACAAAGGTCCCACATCAATTTCGAGATGAATCAAATAAAACTTAAAATCTTAAATTGAGTTATTAAAGATCATGGTATGTATGAATATATATTTTTTAACAACCATAATACCACTGACATATCAGAATTAAACAGGCTTTGTGTAACATCCTGCACTTTGATTTAAATAAAATGAGATTTATTAAAGATAATTAGAATATATTTAGTTGGAATTTATATTTAAAAAAATGTGAACAGTGCTGTATGAACAGTGTCGATGAATAGTAAAATTGCGTGTGAACAGTAAGACCGTGTACAAACATTATAGCTGACGTCACGTACGTATATAGTCTTTGTATAGTACACATGCATAGTATTTTTGGCATGAACAGTGCCTGCAAATAGTATTTTTGGCATGAACAGTAAGGCAATGAATAATATTTTTGGTGATGAACAGTAATTCTGGTGGTAAATAGTAAATTTTAAAAATTTTCTATAAAAAGGGAGTTTCACACAAAATTTTCATTTCTTCACGCTTATCCAAGGTTTTCAAAGGTTCTAAGGCTATATTTCACCATTTTCTCTCATACTAAACCCTCATAAACTTATATTTCTCTTCAGATCTGTGATTCTATGTCCGTTCTAAAGGATTTCAAGTAAATTTCTCTAAATTTGAAGTTAGATTTACCGTTCGTTTCTCTTCTTCTTCTTTTTCTTATAGATATTCATGATGTTTTTAGGAAAAACTCCGTTCTAGAGTTAAATCTTTGGTTAAATCTTTGTAAAAGTTTTGTTTTAAGGTAAGGGGCTCTACTTATCATTTTGCTATGTTTATTACTTGTATTCTCATAGATCTTGTATATTTGTGATTATATGTGAAATAATCCTTGTTTTATGAAAAATAATCGGTGAAAAGTGAGAATAATTAGTTGTTTATGTAATTTTATGATAAATACATGGTGAAAATGTGTTATTAT